TGACCACTCAACCATGAGGCAATTAGCAACAACGAACACTTACTTAAAACGATAAAATTCTCAATTTTCACGAAAGAAAGCACAATAAATAATTTATGTAAGTAATTAAATTCTTCATTTATTCTTAGCTACCAAAGTTATGAAGTTACAGTTAATTACGAATTCTTTAAAGCACTGAAAGTTACAACCTGAAAGCCGTTATAAAACCTCACTCGCGTGAAGTAGACTCCATCCATATTCCTTAAGTACCTTTAATTACGCTAACAGAAACTAAAAAGCAACATTTTATCGGCGTCCTAATTAATGGTGACCTTATTGTTGACTTTGTAGTTTATAACCTATTTCACGTGGGCTCTAAAATGCCCTTAATTTTTGTCATGTAGATTTTTCGGGAGTAAACGGTGGATTTTAAATGGAGGAGGAATACCAGAGGAGTTACACTTGTAACTGTGTAATCCATGGATTAAATAATAAATAAATGATTTATTGAACACCAATAGATTTGTACAATTCTTTGTGTAAAACTAAAGTAGGTACAGAAGTGGTAGTGCAAATTAATTATTAAACCCTGATTTCCAAACTAGGCAGACCTGTATGTTGGAAGTCAGAAGATTACAGGAGTAATTTTCGAAAATCCGGTATAACCTCAATTATTTACAACAATGGCGGACTTAATGCCCAGTGGCTTTCACTAACAGTGGCATTCAATGACACCTTGTTCAACCATTTTTTATTTAGGGACAAAAACATCTAATAACTTCTCCCGCCTGGGTGAGGCAAGAGAGAGTGTCGGACTCTTACTGACTAAAATCCACCTCGTTCCTTCTCCTGCTTTGAACCGAAGCCCCGGTAACACTTTAGGTTGTCTCCAGCTCTGACCTTGTTCGACCTGGGAATCAAACCATGCAGCTCTTGCTTGGCAGTCACACTTGCGACACGGTACAACGAGTTACGAGGTAGTCAAACATAGCACGCAGTTTGAAACTATAATTTTAGTAGTTAAACTGTCAAACACCGAGCGGACACCGGTGACCGCAACCTATTGTTCTTTAAACTGTCAAACACCAAGCGGTCACCGGTGACCGCGACCTATTGTTCTTTAAACTGTCAAACACCAAGCGGTCACCGGTGACCGCGACCTATTGTTCTTTAATTGTGTCTATAAAACCGGTACTCGACGAGTTAATTGTGTCTATAATGACGGTACTCAACGAGTTAACTCAATCAACTTATTTTAAAGGAACTAATAACAGTGTTAAAAATATATGAACTTTAACCCCCTTCGAGGTATCTGGTGTTCCAGGTGTCCATGGGCGGCGCCGATTGCTTACCATCAGGTGATCTGTCTGCTCGTTTACCGAATTAAGCCTTAAAAAATATATTTTTTTTTAAAGTGTTGCCCCATCTAGGATTTTCTCCTGTGCCGTGGGTGCGTTTATAAACATACAAGTTCACACACACATGACACCCAGACCTGGAACAACAATCTGTGGAACACTCAAAGAGTTGTTCTGTGCGGAATCGAAACCGCGACCAGTTGCGCGGCAGCCAGTTGCCAAACCACCGCGCCAACTATACAGTCTTTACTCAACTATCAGACAAAAAAAAATAATAGAATAAGTACTGCAAATTATTATAGTTTGCTCGGCAGCCATTGCTGGCCTTGATATCGATTGGTATGATTAATTCCATAAACAATGCAGTTGCTTCAAAGATGGACAGTCACGTAATGATAGACAGGTCATAGTATTGCTAACGTATGAATTGAAATTAACCGTTATTTTTAGTCTCGAATTTTAAAATATTGTGATTGCAACAAACCCGAGCGTACGGCCAAAGAGCCACCAGACCACCACGGATGGGGCCCAATAGGGCTGATGCCGATTCGGAGTCGCGTAGAACCTAATGGGTTACCAGAGCTCCGGCTGAAAATGCAGGAGTAGGAACGGGGTGGTTTTTAGTCAGTAAGACACTGACACTCCCTCCCGCCTCACCCGAGCGGGAGCAAACATTCGATGATTTTCCCCCCTTCAAAAAACGTCTAAGGAACTACTGGTCCTGTTCGAAAAAAAAGTTGTTTTGGATCATCCATTTATCAAAGAAGGTTTTAAAATATCACGTAAAGATCAATAGGCGTCGAGCAGAGCGGGTGCGGAATTTGCTAGAAAGATATGAATATATAAAGGTTACAATAAGTAAATGATTGTTTAAAGACCTCAATCATTTCATTGACGATCCATAAATAAAATGATAGAACTCTTTTTATAAAGTACGATGTACTCAGCAATAAAATATTTATCTCGTAATTGAGTACCTACCTATTTGCAAACTAGTCAAGTTCAATACTTTTTTCTAACGACAGTTTTCTATGAATTTTGTACGAGATTGTGTATTGTGACGTCACGTTTTTTTAGCGTCATACGGCGAACTTATTTCTTAAAAATTTGCTGGACAAATAATATAGTAATATACACCTGAAACACAGGATGTCCTAGTTAAGGCACCTTATATTGTGAACCTTATATAGCTTTAAGCAAAACTGTATATTTCTAGACTATTATGTTTGAATATAAATTTTATGTATTTACTAAAATTAAGTTGGTCATAAAATAACCGAAAGTGCAATTATTTTTTAATAATTTATTGTATTGAACAGTCGAAATCATTTATTTTTGATTAAGAAAAGTACCGAATCGAATAAGACGTCCAAACAGCAGCATGTAACACTACCCAAAACTGTTAAAAATAACCAATAAAACATCAATCTTACATCAACGTGACAAGGTCGAAAATTAAAAACGTTTAACAATATAGGATAGCTTGACATGCCACTGAACTACTGCACAAAGACTGCATTTTACGTGAAAGTAATGTACTGTCTACATACAGTAACGGAATTCCGTATGACTCAGAGCACTTAAGAAGGCAATAAAACTCGGTACAAGACGTAGACATTATTAAACAATTTCTTACTTTTCTTTTAATATTACATTACTTAGGTGCTTGTAAACGTAAGAGGTACCCATATAAGTAATTGATAAGTAAGTATAGTCTTTTAAATTAAATGAAAGTCAAAGCATTTATTTCAATTAATCCTTAATCCTTAAAAAGTGCGTAACTTTTGAAACGTCAACAATTGAATCGTGGGTCAGTCTGACTGTCAGTGAAGCTAGGTGCTCGTTCCAAATTGTAGTTTCGAATGGAGAAGAACGAGTAAGAAACTCCATTCGTTACTCTGTTTTAAAAAGAAATTGTTTTAGTCTCATTGATACATTATCATTATCTGATCCTTTATGCCACTGTACAATGTAACACCCACTTATCACTATTTATGTTATTAGTCCCATGTAATAAGGGGTGAACCTATTGCCACATTTCCAGACTGGTCACAATTTCAGACTCCGTGTTACAGCTGAGATTTTTTTAAAACGCAGTAATACTTTGCCCGACCCGGGAATCGAATCCGAGATCCGTTGCCCGGCAGTCGCACTGGCTACCACTCGGCTAACGAGGCAGTCATTATTGCCTTTAGAAGGATTATAAACATGATTACGTATCTTTCAATTTAGACTAATGTTATTACCTAACGTGACATTAGATACTTGTTTTTGTTTATTAAAGGAACGATAATAATTTATTCGCCATTATTTCGTAAAATATTTACCCAAAATGGTAAGACACCTATCCACAAAAGGTTAGCAGAAAAATCCTCTTCATCATTTTAATCAGAAGGTATAGTTAGTTATGTTGCTTCATTGAATGCTAATATACTGCCTCGTTGGCCGAGTGGTTGCAAGTGCAGCCGGGCAGGGTGTCTCGGGTTTAATTCCCGGGTCGGGCATAGTACTACCTACGGGGGTTTAAAAGAAATCTCAGTAGTATCACGGAGTCTGAAGTTATACCCGGTATATGGCATTAGGCTCAATCCCTATTACATGAAACTCATAACATAAGTAGTGAAAGATGGGTGTGTACAGTGGCATTAGATGCCGTAAAGTGCACCTCTGCCTACCCCTTTAGGAATAAAAAGGCGTGATTTTATGTTATGTGATATGTGAATGCCAATATTGTCTAAGATAATAATGAGACAGTAAATCCAACGACATACTGTGCCCCCAGTTACATATTTAAATACTTTTTTAAGGTTTCATAACTAATTTAAACTGAAGGGACCATTGGCCGGTGTCTAGTTCATAAATATACAACATGTTCCTTTAAAAAAAAATTTACAAACAAAACAACTGTTCATTTAAAACTTCATACAACTTTATGCGCTAAGTTCACACGAGAAAGGTCAAAATCCTATAAATACTATATAATGATAGTCTACTTTGAAAGTTACCAAAGACTAGCTGTTTTTAACTTTAGTCCGTCGGTCGTCGGCATAGAGAATGTAATTAGTGCTTGAATTAATTTATAATTTATGGTTTCATTGTCGACGTGAACTTGCGTCCGTCCGGTGAATCATGCCGGTGGGTTGCCAGCTATGAGAGGACGAAATTACGCACAAAAATTGAAGGTTGTGTAGGGGAAAAATTAGGGGAACTTATATTTATAGTCAGCTACTTAGTATTGGATTTGGATAATCCAAAATAATATTACAAATGCGTAAGTCTATTTGTTACCTCTTTTCTTAGTAACTATATGAAGGGAACATAATTTATGGCAAATATTTAGTCATCAAAGAAATACTTCTCATTTATATTTTGGATAAATATTTAATCTAAATATTTAATTATTTTAATCATATTATCTACTTAAGTAAACCTGTAAAAGTTTATTATTTAATTCATTATCTGTTCTTACCTGGCAGTGTTTTAATACCCAACACAATTTTCAGCTAAACAATGAACCATAATATATTTTTATTTCTATTCGTACTTTAATGAACTACATTATTCATATTCCCCGAAACCGGGGAGATTTCCCTACTATAGCCACACATACACCCCGAGCAGAACCGATTCGTTCGCCGTTCACCGTTCCTTTTTCATTTCATTTCATTCGGGCCGTCCGTCCGTGCGTGTGACGGGATCGCGCTAACAAACTAATATTTAGTTTTTAAATAGTAATTAAATACAAATATGAGGGAAATAGTGCATCTGCAGGCCGGACAATGCGGAAACCAGATTGGAGCCAAAGTGAGTACAAAATGTTTTTCATATTTCGAATTTTAAAATTCGCAACGTTCTTTTTGACAGTTCTCTTACTTGTCAAGATTTGAATTTACTTTTTTTTTCGCTCCAGAACTAGGTACAAGTCATGTGTTTTAGATTCTAATTTGTTATGTTGTTATTACGAAAAAATATGAACTTTATAAATCGTAGAATTACATTTAATACTGTTTGATATAATATTCTGTCTCTTAATACAATTCCAATGTATTATAAGGGTAAATAGATTAAAAATAAATTTATTTTCCTCGATCGGTGACATCGTTTAAATAAAATATATTTCCTTTTAGTAAGGTATGTGGGTATTGTTCAGAGATAACGGCGGGCATATCAACAAACTTTTGTGAATGAGGGTGATTGATCTGATAACTTTTGTAAACAGTATTAACGACCCTTTTTTAAGTGATTAAAACATTTTGTGTCTAACGTATTTCTTTTTAAGATAAACATTTCAGAAAACGTATTTTTTTACTAAACAAATTTTAATTAACGATCTGTATGTAGGTCTAAGTCAGAATAATATTTAAAATTGTTATATTCCACGGAAAATATTAATAAAAAACTTCATCGAACATGATTCTAATGCTGATCACGATAAAAAAAAAACAATCCATTTGACAGCACGTAGTTTATGATGACAATAAAAATGATGACTCCATTGCTCCATTGTCAACTGCTGACTGTCGTCAATATGCAGTTTTTGAATTAGGAACGCGATGTGGCCTGAATTATTATTAAAAAATACACGTTTTCTAGCTAGGCCTATGACATCATCAACGATGATATTTTTTACAGAAAATGTAATTTTTCTCGGGTTAAAAAGTAGATGTACAATCTTAGACTATGTATAGTCTATCTTTGTGTTAAGTTTCATATAAATCCATTCATTTCATCTCATCATTTAGTCGCATTTGAGTTAAAAAATCAAAATTCTAACATTATACTAGGCATAGACAACATTGTCACTTTTCGTTAGTAAATAAAAAAGAAAAATATATTCCAACTGAAGACTTTGTACACGCTAACTTTTTTAACTAGAATTATATTTTTTCTGCAATCATTTATCTCTTAGTGTATTACGTGATCATAATCTCAGTGGTAGCACGGAGTCTGGAATTGTGCCCGGTATACGGCAATAGGTTCACCCCCTATACATGGTACTCGTAACATAAATAGTGAAAAGTGGGTGTTGCATTGTACAGTGGCATTAAGTGCCGTAATGTGCACCTCTGTAGCTTCGGTGACAAAAGGCGTATGTTATGTTATTCCGAGTACTGTTTGCCCTTTTTAGGAATAAAAATTGTGACATTATATTTATCAGTGCCTAGGTTTATCAATACATTCGTTTCAGGAAATTGGCCACAGTTTGCTTACCAATCAAGTGCACTACATAAATACATGACTAGGTAGATTGGTCGTTCATACAAGTCCGAAATGTATGGACTTCGAAAAATATCGAAAGTAAATAAGATAAGCATATGAACATGAACATATACACTGTCACAGCGTTAGTATTTTAAACATGTCGAATATTAAATAAAACTGTTTTTTTTTCTATTTGTGAACGTTATTTTACACTAACGTAACGCACTTGTCACGCCTCTGGTGTTCCAAGTGTCTTTGGGCGGCGCCGATTACTTCCCATCAGGTGATTCGTCTGCTCGTTTACTGGCTTATCCCATAAAAAAGTACATACCTATGTACCTATGTAGAGGTATATATCACACCTAGACCACTGTGAGGGAAACGAATCCACGACATGTTGCACAGCACCTGACCGTTCAGTCACTGCGTCAAAAGGAATTTAACTGCCTTGTTGATAGAGCAAGAAGTCTTTAATTTGGTTCATTATCGGACAAAGTATTGTAAAACATATTCTATTTGTAAATTTCAAGCAAATATTACCCATTATTTACCTAATACGGAGTCTGTATGACCAAAACTATCTGTCGAACTCTTCTCTGCTTACCCTTACAGCCGCGATTGATTGTAATGTCTAGATAATACAAAAAACTAATTAATAAAGTTAATCCTCCACTTGAATTACTGTAATCAGGTGTAATCTTCACGCTGTATTAAACTGTCAAACACCAAGCGGTCACCGGTGACCGCGACCTATTGTTCTTTAATTGTGTCTATAAAACCGGTACTCGACGAGTTAAACAAAGAAGATTAGCAGCAGTACCTATGAAGTGTAGCACTTGAGTATTCAAGGACTTTTTGATGTAAGTTCTGACATTGAACAAACATCGTACTAATACTAATAGTAAAATCTAGATTTTTGCCTTTTTGAATTCTCTCGCCTCGCCTCAAGGCGGAGGAAGTCAAAAGGGCAAAAGTATCCCGCCTCGGGTGAAACGAGAGACAGTGTCAGACTCTTACTGACTAAAAGTCACCCCTTTCCTACTCCTACTTCGAGCGAGAGCCCCAATAACCTGCTGTACTTCCGCCTGACCCAGCTATCGAACAGAGATCTTTTGCTCGGCAAGTTAACTTATAAAATTATTCCTGTAGGTACCTAATGTAACTATTTTCATTTTAACTTTGATCTAGTCTTCAGATCTGAATGTCAAAATAAGCCTCAAAAAGTTTACTTTCTTCGGACACATAAAAAGTCTTGATCTTTTTATTTTTCTTAAGACGCACAGATCTATTATTATACAGCCTTTCATTCTTCGTGTAACGGTCATCGGCAACTTGCTACGGTTTTTACTGGAGCAAAGCAAAAAGATATTATTAAGTATGCTTTCTTTTTCAACATTAAAATCGTTGCTTTTATTCAATCTTTCGGTTTCAGTGACGTTTGCAACCATAGATGATTAAAGAAGTCTGTGTTCGCAACACTGAAAATTGTCGCCCACCGTGATTAATGAAAATTATTTTATCATAAATCAATTAACCATTCGATGGAAGCTAAAGTGAAAGTAAACAAGAAAAATCTAAACCTTTACATCGATCGCAACTTTATAATTTCATTTACTTCAGGATAAAAAATAACACATGTCATATCAACCTCTTTTTGTCTATGCTTCTTACACTTTTTTTCTAATGATCAGAAACAGGAACAAACACAAACTGACAAAAGAGGTCGGAGTCATAACCGAACTACATGGTGTACAGTAATAAAGGCCCAACTTTATTAGTTCACTAAATGGTTCAGTACATTGACTTGGCACAGTAATTATAAGAATTAATGTGTCGGTCACGTTTCTTTCCTTACTAAGTTACTGCTGAACAGCTTTTAAAGGTGCGTTTAAAATACAACGGAAGAATTTTTCGAAATTAATGTCAGCGATAAGGAAAGACATTTTTTGCGATAAGTTGTGTATGTGTAACGATTTTTAGAAGACTAATCGATATATGTTTGCTAAATGGACATAATCAGTCAAATAGGTGCTACATTATGTTTTTTTTAAATATTTAACCGATTTCGAAAGTCTATCCGCATTAGTGTCATTTAAATAGAAATCTTATAATCTTATTAGTTGCGAAGCTATCACGAACATGGAGAATCATAATTAACAACAGTTACCAATTCGCGGTTTATTTCGCGGTTCCCATTATTATTATTATTATAAAAATCCAAGATGGAGTCTCTTTGAATGATATGTCAGTAATACAGTAGATGATTGCCTCTCCGCGGGTTAGCGGCATAATTCATATTATCATTACAAGTTTTATATGAGAAAAATGATATTAAAACCGTTATACCTGAGTAGCATTTACCGTTTATATTTAAAAAAGTTTGACTTGACATAGGTATCTGTGATTGACGTTTGATTGAACAATAATGGCGGGATGAAGTTTTCGCGGGTAATGCCTATGACACACAGATAACTAATACTTCCAGTGCGGATGAAAACCTGGCTTTAGGGTATCTTGCGCCAAATCAAGTCTATATCCTAATATATGCAATATTTAAAAATTTTACGATTTTCTTTCAAGCATTAGGTACCTACTTCCGAAAAGTTAACTCATAATTTCTTCAATCTTCTTCTAGTTCCCTTCAACGTCTAAAAGAACTTACTAGAAACAAAGTTTGAAACAATAATCAGAACTTCCAAATCAAAACGAACATAATACTTCAGTGTTCAAGCCAATAAATCATTCCACATGTAATTTGTCCTTCAACAATAGTATTGCTTACAGGAAGCTAGTCCGTCATAAAAAAGTTAGGAAAAAAACACCACAACTAAATAACATCGGTTCTGAACGACTAGGTTCAACGAATCAATCACTTTAGTAGGCAATAGGCAATTTTAAAAAGTTGATTGCTTATTCGAAATTCGAACAATTAAAAATAAAATTATAAACGCAGACACCAAACACATTAAGATACAAAAACCACCATTATGTTTATGAGATTTTGAACTAGTAGCGCTTTTATATAAAGTTGAAATTCCTTTGTTTATTGTGGGATAGCTTGACATGCTGATGGGCGTTAAATATTCAGAAGTGCTAAATTCTAATGTTAAGATTTGTGATGGTAATTTTCACATTAGTTCCTTTAAACACGATTTCATGTGTTTGAGAAAAGATTCCCTTCTATTTATATCCATATTTTTTACTTAGGACTTAAATAGTTCTTAGAAATATTCTGTAAATGGTTCTTAGACCACATGTACAATAAAGGACAATGATATTAGGTACTTAATTATGTAAATACTTTTTGTTGGACAAAAAAATCTATTTGCAATCTGCTATAAATACTATTGACAAATTACTCAAGTCCAATAGCCCAAGTATCAGAACATATTGTCGAACATAAATATTAGATAGCTAATCTAACAGACTATTTGTCCGAACTAATGGAAATCCTGTCTAGACAGAGCCTAGGGAAACTAATTTATAGACAGAATGAGATAAGACATTTAATCACAGTCTCGGACGTAGAAGATGTTATTAAACAATAAGTTTTCACGGTAAAAGATCATTCTTAGTTTCTTCTCAGTCAATCTTCTCAGTTA